AAAAAAAAAAAAAAGGAAGAGAAGAAGTTATTCCTCTCATATGTTCAAATCAACACCATCAAAAGCTCTTTTATTCTCTCCTTCCATAGCATCCAACATTAGTGCTAGTGGGGCAACTTTCCATGTCCTTGGCCAACTCTACCTTAATGCGTTTTTCATTGTGTCTGACATCGTCCTTTGTCTTCCAAACCAATTCAACACTTCCCACCAAAGTCGTGTTGCCACCTTGCTTAGTCCACATCCTTTCCCGAGCATTTGCACATGAAGCAGCAGCTTAGGAATGTAATTCTCTGCCTTCTCGTGTTCTCGGCTATCGTTCCTTCCCCTCGTTACCATCCAAGCAAAATGCACACTTTTTCTTAACGCTATAGCATCTAGGTGTCCAAACTCATGAGTGTTGAAAAACGAAAAACCTGATTGTTTCCTTGTCATCAGCTTATGATAGTATGGCAATTGATCACTGTCCATCTCTTCTTGCTCGATAAAACTCTTTTTGTAGAGTGTTTGTAGTATATTTTGAAATTCAGTTACCCCTCAGTTCCTCTTGAACCTCATTTCCCAATGAACTCCCCCTTCATGTGACACAAGATCTGTTGTATTATGATCTCTCGCTGGCTTGGTTTTGGCATTGTATACAAAGGTTAGGGACGTAATTAACGCGAGTTGAATGCAAGTAGTGGTGTTATAGAAGTCCTTGCAACTAGCAGACTGATGTGAAGCAAGATTTTATCACCTATGAGTGGAGCACATGGATTTTAAAAAGGTGGCCATTCTTTTGATCTGATTTTAAAAGATGGAAAAAAAAGATGAAGAAAAAGATAGGATATTTTTCTATTTGAGATTATGGGTGCGACCCTTCCCCGGACCCTGCGTGAACGCGGGATGCTTTGTGCATCGCGCCACCCTTTTTACTCCGGAAACAACTTCTCTGCCTTATTAAAGGTAGGGGTAAGGTCTGCGTACACACTACCCTCCCCAGACCCCACTTGTGGGATTACACTGGGTCTGTTGTTGTTATGCTTCAATTTTCTCTTTGGGGTCGTTGTCTTCCCTTTCTCGAGTTTGTAACGCCTTTGCTTCCTCTGCTTCTGTGTCTTGTTCTCTTGATTCACTTCTATCCTTTTCTTTTTATTCCTAAAAACTAAAACTGCTCTTATTTGAATCTTTTTGTGCTTCTCTTCAACTCTCGTTGTTCAGTTACTAAAGCAATTAAATTTAAATTATATGCTCCAAATAAATTCTTTGTTCTATGGGTGATCATTGAAAATAAAAAATTATTTTTGCATTTGAAATTATCTTTCCGTGGCTTTGTTGAAACAGTAGAGTTTCATTTGACTATTTGAATTGTTTTATTGATATTGTCGTTACAGTATATACAGGATGCTGAATAAGTAATTTGCATTTCAGCTTGATGTTACAAGTACTAAGTCATATATTTTCGGTAATTTGTATTCACTATGAAATGTGCGCTTTACGTAGAAAAAGCTTGCTATTCGCTGCTTCTTTCTTTTCGCTTAAAACACTTGGGCAACATTAGGGTGATTCACACATATAGAGGATAAAATGAGATATTGTCGCCTGAGCTTGCGTGGACCTCCAAATGCACCCGTCTGTAGCTACACATTATAATGTTTGAAGGTGCTAAAAGAGAATAAAGTAAACTTAGAATCAAATCAAAGAAAGTAGTCTAAGAAAACCCCAATAACTTGAATATTGCGGATTTAACTAAGAACACAACATAATTGTTTCAAAAGATCCATATAAGTGTTACCAATTAGATGGGTCTAAGGCTAATTTGTTATTGTTACACTTACGTTAGGTCTGGTGTTTGTTATAGTATTTTATGATGTAAGACTTGTTTGTTATGGAATGAAATCAACCTGAATAGAGCTAATGGATATAAAAACCTCTTGCAGTTCTGCCAACCAGTTTGAGATTGGCCATTGATTGATATTCATTTTGTTGTTTCATCTTTTCCCACTACTTCTGCCTTGTTTGTTGAGAAATGCGTTATTCAACTCTAAAATCATATTCATCACTAAGCTAACTTGAACTGTTTGCAATTTTAGTTCGAATGTCGGGAATTTAGAGAATCCATTCTTGGAGTTATGCCACATCACTGGGTGAGTATGGCATCTTACTGCTCTATACTGATCGTCATTGCACTGCATGTAATTGGTGATGGCACTAATGCGAATTCTTTCGGACCAGGATCGGCGGGAGGACACCAGGTTAAAGCTGGCACACTTCAGGCGACATAAAAGGAAGGTGGTTAAGAAAGTACCTGGGAAGTCCGTCACTTACCCTTACCATAAGCCTGAGGAAAATCATCCACCTGGGAAAGACACTACTAAAAGAATCTCAAATGTTATTGGAAAGGCAGTAAATTACGCAAAATCAGCAAAACCCAAAAAGGTGATGGTTTACTATGGTTTTTTAGCAGTTCCTCAGTTCTCTTCGTCCTTGCCTTTTTTCTCAAGACTGTCTTGTATTATGTTCTGATAACTATTTGCCATTACTTTAGAAGATGTGTTTCTGATCTATCCTTAGCTGTGATCTTTAATTAATAATCTTAATGGCGTAATATTCCAGGATTCTGCAAGTGATGTACTCGTCAGATCTCAAATTGCTTGGAGTTCTAAATTTTTGTTAACATTTATGTAGAAAAGCTACTTTGTGAATTGGTTATTAGAGAAAAACTCTCTTACCAAATATGCTTTAATGGCGTTATGTTTTAATTGTTTGGTAATGTCACGCCCCAACCTCGGGGAGCGCGACCGGCGCTCAACAGAGTTACCCCGGTTGAGCAAGCCTGCACAATGCCGTCTACCTAACTCACCCATGAATAAAGAGGAATACATTTCATTAATTAGACAGTAAGAGGTCATGTGAATAACACCGGTTCATTTCCATTAGTTACGTCATTAACAAGTCTTCAAAACAGTACACTGTACAGTCATAGTTAAAGTGGAACAGATGATACGATTACAACATTTTTAGTTCAACCTTCCCAAAACCAGATACAACCCACACTATGTCTACGGAGCCTCTAACATAAACAAAAGATTGCTAAGACAGTGCCGGCAACAAGGCCCCGGCTATACCTTAAAATGCTATGGACAAAGGACAAGAGACACATGACCCCGAAATGAAGTGGGGCTCACCAAGTCAGCTAAGGAGAGGGTGTGCTGCTGTCATTGATCAACACCACCTGCTATGGAACCACCTGCATCCATTAAAGATGCAGCGCCCCCGGAAAAAAGGGACGTTAGTACATATGGAATAGTATAGTACTAGTATGTAGAACTAAACACCCTATCATTAGAATGAATAACAGTAAACGGAGAAGGATACATGAAATCATTAAGAGATTCAACATCATCAAGGTGTCAAGTTAGGGGAAAGGTAAATTTCAAGTAAGTTACAATCTTTTTAAGTTGGGAGATCCTTAGCATCGATACACCACCGTGTTCTTAGCATGGTGTCCGATCTCAGCCCGATCGGCTAAGCCGTCTCACCCCAAGACATCCACTCACAATACCACCATGTGCGCGGCATGGCGTTCGATCTCAGCCCGATCGGCTAAGCCGTCTCACCACAATGCCGTGTGGATCGACATCATATCACATCTCGCTAGCAATAATCTCATCCCATTCAAGAGGAAACATCTCAACACATCATTCTCATCCCATATAAGGGGAAACAACCTCATCACATTAACACGGGGATTTTTCCCTCAATCACTCCTGCCCCGGCACGTGTAGTTTCGGGGTTAGGTTATTTTGACCTACCCTTCCTCGGTGACTAAACGATACTCCCAATCATTTATTATTTAACGGATTTCAGACCCTTTTCATAATCTTTTACACATCTTTCCATTTCACTGGCACTGGTAGCCATAATTTTAATGTCGTTCTTGGCACGTTGGCCGTAATTAATATTTCATGCTTACTATTTCACTTTCAAACATCATAACAGATCGTCAACAACAAACATTTCCACTCAAGACTTTTGATACACATTTGAGCAATTAAGGGTCTTAGGCACATGTGATTTCTTACACAATTCGACATGATAGCTTTCATTAGAATCACGTTATTAAGTCATAACATATTAACACACAGCCCATACTTAAATCACCTTCTCAAATAGTAACTCAACATAACAAGAACATTTGGAATGCATATTGAACGCATTCATCTTTTGACACAAGACTTATTCGGAATAATCAATTTATAATGAGCAACATGGGACTTACAAGGCCATGGTGGGGTTCAATTCTAAAAGAGGAGTTTAGCCAACATACCCCGCTTTGAGCTTTCCTTAATTCACTACACAGTTCCGGAAGTCCTAGCAACTTTGATCTATTTGAAGATATAGCAAAAATGAACACAAATTAGAAAGGAGTTCATGTTTCCAGCCCATTTGAGCATTTTATCGAACACTAGGTGGGCATTATGATTTCTAGCTTCTCCTATGGTGGATTTCCTTCACCCCACAACCCAAGGTCTACCCATTTGAGCTCAACTACCTTCCCACAACTCATGATTGTACATGCATGCATAGATACACTCTCACACCCAAGAATCACACCCCTCATTAACCATCTTCTACCCCAAATTCGAAATTGAGACTAGGACATGGAACCTTACCTCTTGGATGAAGAACTTGTGAGTTTCTCCTTGTGAATTCTCCAACTTTNAGATGAAGAATTTGTGAGCTTCTCCTTGTGAATTCTCCAACTTTGAGCAAGAATTGATGGATAGAAATCTTAGGAACTTTCCCTCTCACTCTATGGCACTTCCTCTCTCTAAAAATATCAGGTTTTCACCTTACAAATGATTTTCAACGATTATGTATCGAAATAGGGTCGGGTTAAAAAAATTAGAAAAATGAAGCCCGATGCAGATCTGCGGTCGTATATGCGACCGCATAACGCTTTTGCGGTCCGCAAAATGGACCGCATAATAGCCCTCCGGAACTGGGCATTTCGGCTTCACTCTGCGACAGGTCTGCGGTTCGCAGACCAATTCTGCGATCGCATAATGCGCCGCAGAACTTCCCTCCGTAAATTTCTATGTTGGATCTGCCATGGATTGTGCGGCCCGCGAAATGATTATGCAGCCGCATAATGGACCGCATAATGGCCCTAAAATTAGCTCAAGTTTCTGCTTCATTCCGCGGCAGATCTGCGGTCCGCAGATCAGTTCTGCAATCGCAGAAAATGCCTTGCATTGCCAAAAATTTTCTTCAACTCCCCAACGCACTGTCCAACCCAAAAAGTCTCGCCGCGAAGAATCTCTACAATCATCAACGCATAAGTCTACCTCGGCACCACGAAACCCCGGGTTTTAGGTAAAATTTTACGGTGCCTTACAGGTAATTCTCATACTCAAGTGTCAACCTATTTTGTAGAGTGAATGATTTGGCATATCGAAACTTGTCAGTAGAGGCGAAATTATATGAAAACTGGTTCGAGCATTTTCAGGCCAGGTAGTGATTGCTAAATATTGAGAACTTATGCCTTACCTACCTACAGAGGGAGGGAGGGAGATGTCTTTCTACCCCTCAGTTTGCACAAAATGACCGTGATGTGATGTCATACAGATTGATATCAATAAGCAGGTTTTAGGGAAGTAAAGGCATAGCTTTACTGCATCTACAAATGATTAAATCCTGGTTTTCATCTCGTTTAGACTGTAACATCTTTTCCATGGTTTTCATACTATATCACTAACATAATCCCTGTTTTGTGTTGGAAATTGCATTTCTGTAGGACCATCTAGTAGAGCAACATTTTTCTGCTGGCAGCTAATTTGAAGTTAGATCATGCATGGATAGTTAAGACCTATTCGACCATAATTGAGAATATTTTGACTATACTGCGGTCCTCAAACTATTTTAGCACTCACTTACATTTTCAGCATTTTATTGGTGCAGCCTTTGCCCTATATTCCTACTATCACCAATTATACCAAGCTTTGGTGGGTCCCTAACGTTGTTGTGGCTCATGAGAAGGAAGGGATTGAAGCTGTTCATATAGCAACTGGTCGTACTGTGTGCAAGGTACGTACTGTCGCTATCACATATTTGGTTTAAAATACTTGTGATTGATGATTCTAGTATTGCTGTGTGTATGTTAAAATATAGGGACATTGCCCAAGTAACAGAGGTCTCGAATAGTAGCTGTATGCCAAATGCTAAGCATGCTATTTTTTGTGCCAGAAAACTCTTTCGAGGAAACTCTGGACCCTTTTCATTCTCACTATCTCCTTGTCTGTTAGTTTGTGGTTTGATGTGAGTTCATGATTTCATCAGCTTCACCTCCTAGAAGGCGGGCTTCATGCAGATATCAATGGCGATGGAGTTTTGGACCATGTCCAGGTAAAGTATAAATTTTTGCTCACTTTCATCTTTCTCCATTTCCAATGTGAATTCCATAAAAAAATTGCGTACTAATATTGCGGACGGGATAAGCTCAATTAGCTTTGATATATGCGTCCTGCTTGAATGGGAGTAGATATGGATAATGAATCAAAGAATAAAGCAGCAAATAGATTGCTCAATCAAGAGGAAAAAGATGGAACTAGAATCTGACGAAATGACCAGTTGCAGAAGATCTTTAGGACACTAAACAACTGGCCTAAAAACTGAACTTGGGGAGTAAACTTTATACTTAAAAGCATTAAACTTTACAGTGGAGAAGTTTCTTTAAAAAACAGGATAAAATATGTGCAGAGGATGAGATAATTCTAGAGACACTCAGTTTCTCTTGAGCTTATATATCTTATGACTGACATGTATCTAGGATACTGGATGATAAAACTGAAAGTGGAAGGTAAGAACCCCTTCTTTTCTGAAAAGGTTAAAAGCTTTTTTAGGAGAGAAATCAACCTGACATATTTTCAAAGATCACAGAACTGGCGGATTAGAAAGCAAGGTGCTTTAACTCTAGATGAATGATTAAGGTTAAATGTTGGTGGCTTAACAGTACTGTTTTTGTAAGAAATCAATCAGCATTTTCACGCCTTTTTGTCTTTTCTTTTCTTTCCTTTTTTTTTTTTTTTTTTTGCAGGTTGTGGGGGCCAATGGTGCTGAACAGACTGTTGTTAGTGGATCAATGGAGGTGTTGCGTCCCTGTTGGGCTGTTGCCACCTCTGGTGTTCCAGTGCGGGAACAACTTTTCAATGCTTCTATTTGTCGTCATTCTCCTTTTAACTTATTCCAGCATGGTGAATTCTCCAGAGGATTTGGTCACACTTTTGATGCAACTTCTCTAGAGGTAGCAACGCCTATTCTCATCCCCAGAAATGATGGTCATCGACATCGTAAGGGAAGCCATGGAGATGTTATATTCTTGACAAATCGTGGCGAGGTATCCTTTTAACTTGGAACAAGCGTTTAGTTTTAACAGTAACGCGCAATTGTTTCTTCACACTGAGTAGTTCGAATTCTGAAAGAAATGATTCCTCATGCCATGGACATGCTTAATGTCTTATCTTCCATGAGATTTTGGGCACATTCATTTTATTCAATTATTGAAAGCGGATTACTTGTCAGGTAACATCATATTCTCCGGGCTTGCATGGACATGGTGCTTTGTGGAATTGGCAGATATTGACTGGTGCTACATGGTCAAACCTTCCATCGCCTGCGGGAATGATGGAAGCTGGTACAGTGGTGCCGACTCTAAAGGCATTTCCACTGCGTGTGCATGACAGTCAAGAATTGATCCTTGCAGCAGGAGACCAAGAAGCTGTCGTATTATCTCCTGGAGGGAGTCTGTTGACTACTATTGACCTCCCTGCACCTCCCACTCATGCCTTGGTGTCTGAAGACTTTTCAAATGATGGATTAACTGATCTTATCTTTGTTACTTCAAGTGGAGTTTATGGTTTTGTTCAAACTAGGCAACCTGGTGCACTCTTCTTTAGCACACTCGTAGGCTGCCTTATAATTGTGATGGGAGTGCTCTTTGTCTCACAGTATCTAAATTCTACAAAGGGAAAACCTAGAGCAACTTATGGTCAGTGGTGACAAGTGAGACATACTGATAGTTTCTAGGGTGGCGTAAGCCACGAGATCCCCGACTTGGTGCAGAAAAGAACTACTGCATTGGGATTTCAGCCATACGCATCGGGGGAAGGGCTTCAGTTTGTGCGAATGGACCGGCTTGCAGAGAAAAAAGTTGGGAACTCTGTAAACTTTTAGAGAGCTCTTTTTCTTCTTAGTCCTTGTTCTAGTATATGATTGAGTTGTATATTACTGCAAGACTTGTTGCATATAAACTATGCCTCTAGGGTTAGATTAAGGTAAGTTTTTCTGTCAACATTTCATCCTTTGTCGTTTTTACTAATCCCCAAATGCTACAAGATTCTCAAGGTGTACTATAGCAATTAGCATGTTGCTCAAATTAGTGCAGTTTTGTATTCATCTGCTGTTTTCATAGCTACATCTTCCCCAGGTCTAGCTAGACATCCCCTCCCCCTATCCCCCACCACCCACAGAAAGAAGATATACTGTGCACTTGCTGTAGCTGAGATGGACATGCAAAAATAGAAGCAAAGGGAAGCCTTGCCACTGTCTTTTGCTACAGTAAGTTGATTGATAGCAATATAGTTTCATTGCCTAACGTATTGATCTGTGAACAGACTCCTGTGTGGTTTTTAGATCGAAGTTTACTCAGTTTCTTTTTGTTACACGAAGGATGGTGCCCAGCTGTCCCCTTCTGCTACTTGGCTATACTAAGAAAAGGGAACTTGGGATTGTCAATTATTGATTCTCATCATACATCTCTAGTAGCCAAACAAATGATCAGTAAGTAAATAAATGAATAAATAAATAAAACAAATCTAAAGGTTAGCGGACCTTGAAATGGTTTATAGTCTACTTCACGAGCCTTCATTGCACGTCTGTTGAATTACCTTATTTTGTTTGTCCAATTTGGAAGGAAAGTTCAATTATTTTCTGGTTAAATTTCTCAAAACATCCTTCTGTGCTTGTGCAGTTGGCCTAGCTTACATAACTATGGAAATGTGTGGAGTAGGTTCAACTTCTTTGTTCTATGAAGATGTTGTAGATGCCATGGGTAGAGTTGAAAAATCCGCTATTGGTATATAATCTACTATTAGTGAGGTTAGCAGAGCGATACTATATTATTGCTTCACTAGCTTATTGGAGAAATCTCTTTACAAAATTGGGAATAACATACCATCCATCCAGTGATTGATAATGTAAACATGCATAACTAGTAACTGAAGTATGGAATATAATTAAAAATGACTCCAGAGTAATCTAAACTTTCGGTTAGATTAAAAACTTTCTATATCCGCCATAATGTGAATTCAGAGATTTCCAAACTCATTCTCTGTTCCTTCGATTGGCAAACTAGCTTATGGATTCAATAAGGTCCCTATGAATAACACCACACCAGTAGATTCGTCTCTTATAAGGAACAAGAATGGATGGTCAGCAACAAAATCTATTTCCTGCTCAATTACCATTTGATACCCTCCAAAAGGACTTCCTCATATACCTCAATAAAGGACTTGTGGAAAACCTCTGAAGCAAACAATTCCGAGGAATCATCAACCATCTCGGTCAAATCACCAGCACAGAAAGGCAATCTGACTCTGAGGCCAATTCCCTTTAGAAGGTCAGAAGCTTTAAAGTCAAAAATTATTCTGAATTTAGGGATAAGAAATTTGCCCACTTCAACTTTTCCATATGGAACATGGTGATTCAAAAAAAATTTGCCCACTTCAGCTTTAAAGCCTTGTCGTATTGTTTACTGAGCCTTGGGGAAGAATCTCTTCGATGAAATGATTTGTCTTCTTTTTAGCCCACTGATCGACTTGATTGGCAACCTCAGCAGCCTTAATTATGACAAACACAGAATGAGAAGAGTTAGCTCATATAATACGCTTTAGCCAAAAGTTTCTTTTTCAAGGCAGCCAACAAAGGGAGATTGCAGTAAACAAATTGATGACAGTACCGGCTAGCGGTATGAAAAAAGAATTTCGGGCCGTTTTACCACAAAAAAGATTTCACTTTTTTTTTTCCGGGATGTTCGGCCATGAAAATGTCAAATTTTACTTCTAAGTTGATTTTTAAATTTTTCGAAAATTTAAAAAACTCCAAAAATATATTTTTCAAAATTTATTTTAAATCACTCACAAAAATTTAAAAACAGTTCCATATTGTATTCATATCCAAACACAGTTCTAACTTTCAAATACCATTTTCACAAATTTCACTTTTTCCCGGATTTCACTATTTTTATGTCCAAATGACTACTTAAAATAGGATTCTTCAGTTCAACAAATTAATAAAGGCCTTATATATATACCTTGTGCTGAAAATCAACCGACTCTGAAGTAGCTTTGTAAACTTCATGCACAACTTCCTCAAAAGAAGGCTTAAAAGTGAGTGATTTGTCGACCCAAACAGTAAACACCATTAGCAACACACAAAAGCGGACCTCCATAGGGACTGTCATCAACAAAGGTGGAATTGAGAACATGAGAATAAAGAGAGTTGAGTTCATCAATGGAGTTGGACTTGAGGAAACGGAGCAGCTGATCCTGAGTAGGTCCGTTGGAGCCGGCAGCAATGAGGCCAAGATATTTGAATTGAGAGAGGAGAGAACGCCATGTTTCTATCCCCTTTAACCTTTTTGGAGAAAACGTCTTTAGTCAGCTTGAAAGAAACGCCCGTCTGCTTGCTGATTGGCTCCTGAAGATCATCCATATCTGAAGAAGATAATGAGTTAGTGAGTTCAATGATCACAAAGTTGAAAAACTTTTGCAAAAATTCAAGTATTTATTCCAATCCGTATATACATAAGATTTTGATAAGGATTTATATATACCTGCTGCATAATTGGCCGTTGTCAAAATGTTGCTGGCGGCGGTAATAACGGAGAGATGCTTGTGCGAGCGCGACTTATAAAGGCGGACGGAGAGGGAACGTTTAGCGAAATCAGCAGCATCCGTGCATGGCAGAGAAAAGAGGTGGTAGGGGCGCAGCTGCGGGTGGAAAGCGGCGGAGGAGCAGCGGAGGGAGAGTCCCGACGGCAATGATACAGATGCCATAGTCGGATGCACTATTAGAAAACTGCCAAAATCTATCCAAAGCATACCGATCGAAATCGGTCGGAACAAGTGTAATTTGGTCGCAAAAGTCAAATAACCAATTTTAATTAAATATACCTATTCGATCCAAAATTCAGATCTAGGTTTAAACAGTTAGATTTACTAATAAAGTGGAGTTAATCTTAGCCAATGTTAATATCCAAAAGATGTCTTAACCAATTTTGTGGCGAGATAACATGAGTATTATCTAAGTAGAAATAAATGGTGGCAATATGGTTATATTCAATGATCCAAAAATGAAGGAGATAACATTAAATAATAATAAATAGCAATGAATGACATTTAAGTAAATAAAAGCATGTGAGTCACCCGAAAAGGGTTAGATTCTTTGGTATTCTTTCTAACAATGATTGATTGACGAGCCATTGAATATTTGGGTTCTCCTTGGATCGTGGGAGAAAAGTTAGACCAAAATCACAAGAAAAAGGTATATTTTGTATGTGTATAATAAAACAAGAATCTTTAGAGAATGTCAATGTGTTGTCTTACAAATGAGTGTTCAATGTCCCCCATCACTATATTTCTTTCTTTTATAAGGGGACATATGCCACAAAACCCTAATAGTACAGATCCAGAAAATATTCACAGGAATATTTTCTTTAAAGTTTTATCTAAAACTAGCCGTTACTATTCTGTTTAAGAAGAGTGCTCGTACTCGGCCTTGATCTCTGTTGACTCTTTAACCTAACCCATTATCTCTCGTTATATCACTTTGATCTTGAATTCGCTTTTGTTGAAGTCATACTGATGACACGTGGAAGCTCTCGAAGGCCTTCTTAATGCTGATATGGTCTAAACATAACTAAGTTAATTTTTGGCCCATACAATTAATCCCTCTGCTCGTTGAGGTCGTCCTCGCGGGCGAGTTCAATGAGTGAATAATGTCGTTCATGGTCGAACTTGTCGAAAAGATAATATGGGTCGTAGTCGTTGTAGTGAGCTGGCGATGTGGCTTTCTGTGGGCCGCATATTTCAAACCTTTGATTTTCCCGGGTGATCTGCTGGAACCATTTGGTCCAAGAGATGGAGTGACATCATGACGTCATGCGTCATGATGAAGCTGATTCTCGACGCATTGCATCAATTCTCGTGTGACCTTTGATTGGCTCTTCCATTTCGATCTTTGTGCCAATCATGACGAACCGTTTCGATTCTGGTGCCCCAAACCTTATAAATGGGGGAGGACTTGTTGAAGTTTAAGTTTTTTACATTCTCTTTACTTCTCAAGAAAACGTTCCTCTCCTTCTTCGTATGATTTCATCGCCTTTATGTTTTCTTTCTCTACCTTCTTACTTACCTTCATAACAATGTCGAATCTTCATCTGATGCCCATGTGGAAGATCACCGTGTCCCTTTGGATGTCGTGTTCCCTGATCAGGGGGAAGCATTGCAGTCGCCGTTGAGGAGGAAACTCTCCTCTCTGTGGAGGAGATTGTGCCTCGATACCATGATGTCAAACCCGATTTCCACAAGTCACCGGAAGTGGTGACCGAGAGGTTTCAATCTACGATGACGAATTGAGCGTTTAGCCGAGTTTAAGGCTAAGTTCGGCCTTCCCGATCACATGGAGCTGGTTCCTGCCGGTGACGATGAAGTACGAATCCATCGTCCCAGATTCTGCACCCTCTACACCTATCCATTCACAATCGGCTATTCGTTCCCTTTCCCACAGCTGATAGAAGAATTTTGCCGCCATTATAACGTGTGCCCCGCATAGCTCAACCCTTACATCTTCAAGGTGGACAAGATATTGGCAAAGTTCGTCGAATTATCTGAGGTCAAGATCACAGTACGCCACTTGGTGCACCTTTTCGCCCCTTATTTCTATCGAGGGACGTTACTGAACCTTTGCCACCACGGGGGAAAATGCTTGGTGGTGAGGATGGACGACAAGGGTAGTCGACATTTCTGGCTCGATTATTTCTTTCTCAGGACTGAGGCCGTAGTGTCTGTTGCCGCCGGCTTCGTTGAGTCCTGGAACCCCACCCGTAAGTGCTCGTGATGTTTGCGTTCCTTTTTTTTTTTTAAAATTTTTTTTACTTATTGTGGGTCGGTCAATCAACTCTTCTTTTTTTGCAGCTACTAATCGACCTCTCCTGTTGGTGGCACATATCGCCGACTGAGTCAAGCAGATCCTTCCCTATACGGCAGGAATACGTGACTGGTTGAGCTTTTTCCAAAAATTCAGACCAGCTCTCCCCTCGACAGGTAATCCCTTCCCTATCGTCGATGATATTTTTATGAGGTTTGTGTTCATCCTTTATACTGATCTCTTCCTTC